CGTTTTGGCTACGAAATACTTGTGTCTGCGCATGTATGTTTCGTGTGAATGATCTGTCAGTTTGTGCATCTGCATCGCATGGACTCTGCATGGAGCTTCCTCCGCATCCTAGATATCTCAGCTTTGTTGTTGTAGAGACTTGCTGCTTTTGCAGATAGCGTGTTTATGGCTCCTGCGATCCACTACAGGTCTGAGGATCGTACATCGGGCTTAGACTTGCCAGGGCTACTCGGCTGTTTGTCTGTTCGGCCTGTTTGTTTGTTTTCTGAAGCCCCTTCTGAAGCCCATTTGTCTGTTCGGCCTGTTTGTTGTTTTTTTGCAGCCCCTTCTGAAGCCCCTTCTGCAAGTCGTCTATCCCAATTGCGGCAAGAGAACCACCGAAATCGAGGCTTTGCATGTCGAGCCGCTCCGTCGATTGGTGGGGAGCAACACCTGTTGTGGGGGGGGGGGGGGGGTGCACTTCCTAGTTTCATTGTATCCAAACACAGGATTTGAACTCTAAATGCTTTCCTCGAAGTCGGCAGATCTGTGTACCACAGGTGCCTGCCTGCAGCTGGTTGACCAAGGGTTGAAACCGCCCCCCCCACAAGACACACACACAAAATGGCGATGGGTACCTAGGATTTATATACAGTTACATCAGCATACAATTCATGCCCACATGGAGGTGGGTTACCCCAAGGGTTCGATCCCTGGGTGTATTTATTGACAGTTGTGATGTGTGTGAATAAAGAGCTACATCCGCATATTATACAATTCATGCCCCCCCCATGGAGGCGGGTTACCCAGGGTTCGATCCCTGGGTCTATTTACGGACAGTCGTGTGTGTGCACCATTCTGCCAGTCCCGCAAGGCTTGGGCGCTCCGCTGACATATGCTTCGGCGAGACTTTCCTCCTCTTTAACTCAATAAGGAAAGCAAGAGCGTAATAAGATGCAGGGCTCTACCCGCTGAGGTCATCGCATTTACTGCGAAAACGACGCCATCAGCACCGACCTACTTCGGTGCGCCTTTCCTCCTCTTTAACTCAGCAAAGCAGAAAGCAGGAGAGTAATAACGCGCAGGGCTCTCCGCACCAGGGTCATCATCGCATTTATTATGAAAACGGTGACCTACTTCGGCGAGACTTTCCTCCTCCTTAACTCTCCGTACATACAGCAGAAAGCAGGAGCGTAATAAGATGCAGGGCTCTACCCACCATGGTCATCAGACTCATCGCATTGATTACAATTTACTGTTGGGGGTGAAAAAAAAGAAAAGGGTCACCTTTAATAGCATCGGACCGTTTTCATTTAGGCGCAAAATAGGCCAATGCATGCTACCACACCTCCAGATCTGTGTGACATGGTTAAAGAGCTGGAGCTTATGATCATAAACTTGAAAAAACATTGTCATTTCATGCACGTACGGGTTACCGAATGCGAAATTGACTTCCCACGCAGAGGTGGACAAATTTGCAAGAAGGGTATAATTGCCCAGTACTGCCGTGGTCATGAAATCGACTTTCTGTAGTGCAGTCCGAAATTCTTCGGGGTCACTCATTCGCCGGAGTAGGCTGGAGGAGCCCAAGCCCAAGGGCCTCTCTCCCCTACTCTCCACGTGCACAAAAGACAAAAGAATATATGGCGTTGTACCTGCCCATGTTCTGACAAAAGATTCGATTCTTATTTTGCGCATCTGGTGGGCAGTGGAGCACAAGCCTAAGTCCTAATTCACGAGCAGAATTCATCTGGATCAGGGATGACACCGTTCACATCCACAACTTCACACCACGGAGAACCGCACACTGAAACAGCTACAACCGTTGCTTGGACAGGACGGGGGACTATATAATATAACGTCCGTATCTGACATGGACATCGTCCTCAATACTAATAATAATGACCCCTACCCACCCAACCCTCAGAGAAAACCAAAAAAA